GGAGAGAAGTAAAAATGGATGAGAATGAAAATGGAAAATCTGCTGCCCTCTGCCAGGAAGTTGTCAATGGGAAGAAGATTTTCCTTCCAACATGACAATGACCCAAAGCACACAGCAAAACTGGCCACACAGTGGTTGAAGGAGAAACAGATGAATGTCCTTGCATGGCCTAGTCAGAGTAATTAAAGCAAAAGGTGGTTCAACAAAATACTGACACAATGGGGTGATCCTTTTTCCAATTCAGTGATTGTTTTTTTATTTATTTATTTATTTTCTGACATGTTGGTGTTATATCTTTCACTTGGATAGGTCAACGTCATCAACTATTCAACTGCCACCTCTTCATACTGACTCATAAAAGTGCATAGTTTCCTAAAGAATAGAGGGAGAGAGAGAGAATGGGGCATGGGATGAGAGGAAAAGTGAAGATAAGCAAATGGGAAAAATAGAAGCTTGGTCTGATTCATTTTGCGTTTCCTTTGTGAAGATGATGGACAGTGGGAAGGAGCGGCTGGATTGATGTTGAAGGTTGGCTTCGTTCTAATAAGATGCACATGTGTTCTGCGATTAGTCATCATCATTGTTTTTATAGTTTGTCCTCCATTCTGACATCTGCTAATTTTTTCGTAGCGCTGAGTGACACAAAGTGGCTTTTTGCAGGAAGCTCTTCACATTACAGGCAATAGCAGAACCCCTGCACGGCCGTTCATTCAGTACAGCAGGAGGTGAGATTAAGCCTAACTTCTGTGTATGAACTGTGTATGAATCTCTCCTGAGTTCATTTGATATGGACTTATTAATTATTGACAAAATATTGGTAGTAAATTCATAACCATAAAGTTAAAAATGTTTTGTTTAAATAACTTTATTTATTTATTTATTTTTTATTTTATTTTTTATTTTTTTTTGCTGAATTGCTAGCAATAAGCCACTTTCTTTCTTTCGTTCTTTCTTTTCTTTCTTTCTTCTTTCTTTCTTTCTTTCTTTCTCTGACCAATAACGTAGCGTTTGGGTCATGTGCCCACACAAAAATGACATGCTATAATTAGAAATGCATTTTTACACACTCACCCCAGTCCAGACCTGTAGGCCATCTTACATTGCATGCAGTTGCTGATGAACATGATATCATATTATAGTTGCACTGAGTAAATACAGCTGGATAAAACAAAAACTGTGTCTGCAAAGCAACAAAATGCGATTATTTTAAAGGGGGTGATTCTTTTCTATACCCACTGTAGTCATGGCTTTTGTACCCTTTTTTTCTGAGAGTATACAGCAATTGTTGAGCTCATGGTGTGAATCTAATTTCTCTTCCAGGTGGATTATTACTAATAACCTCTGTGACATAAATGTGAATTTTTATCTAAAACTGCTCTGCTTGACATGCCCACCTTAGTTTAGAAATACTAAGGCTGCCCTTCTAAGGCTTGTGGTGAAGAGATGTGGTGTTCATCAGAATAATCACAATGAAAAGTTTTTCGCCAGCACATGCAATCAGCCCCAACCGGCTCTGGAAATAAAGGCTCACAGCTTGCGTGTG